TTTTCAGTCCTGACTACTACTTTAACGTGTTATCAGTGTGTCTTTTCAAAGTTCAGTTATGATAATAAAACCATGTTGTTGAATGAAAAAAAATATTTTCTTTCATACTAATACGACCCAACCGAATGTGGAAACTACAGAACAATTTCACTGATTTCACATGCAAGCAAGATTTTACTGAAAATTATCCAAAAACGACTGGAACAGCACATCAACAGAGAACTACCAGAAGTCCAGGCTGGTTTCAGAAGGGGTCGTGGTACTAGAGATATTGTAGCTGATGTTAGATGGATCTTGGCTGAAAGCAGGGAATACCAGAGGAATGTCTATCTGTGTTTCATTGACTGTGTAGATCATAACAAACTGTGGCTGACTCTGAGAAGAATGGGAATCCCAGAACACTTGATCGTTCTAATGCGAAACTTATACTTGGACCAGGAGGCAGTCGTCAGAACAGAGCAAGGGAACACTGCATGGTTCAAAATTGGGAAGGGCGTACGCCAGGGATGCATCCTGTCTCCATACCTTTTCAACATGTATGCAGAGGAGATTATCCGAGAGGCTGGGCTCTATGAGGAGAAATGTGGGGTCAGGATTGGTGGACGATTTATCAACAATCTGCGTTATGCGGATGACACAACCCTGCTTGCTGAAACTGAGGAGGACCTGAAGCGCCTGCTGCAGAGTGTCAAGGACTGCAGCCTACAATACGGATTGAGGCTCAATGTCAAGAAGACAAAGATTCTCACCACTGGACCAATCGGCAGTATCAGGATGGATGGTGAAGAGATTGAGATTTTACACAGCTTTAGTTTGCTTGGCTCCATAGTCAACAGTCTTGGCACCAGCAGCCAGGAAATTAAAAGGCGCATTGCCATGGGAAAGTCTGCTGTTAGGGACCTCTCCAAAGTACTGAAGAGCAGTGGTGTCTCTCTGGAGACTAAGGTGTGTCTGATACAGGCCATGGTCTTCGCAATCACCTGTTATGCATCAGAGAGTTGGACAATGACCAAGGAGGATAGAAGGAGAACTGATGCCTTTGAGCTGTGGTGCTGGAGAAGAGTACTGAGAATACCCTGGACTGCTAGGAAAACAAATAGATTTGTCCTGGCGAGGGTTAAACCGTGTGGCTCCTTGGAGGCAAGGATTCTGAGGCTCCGTCTAACTTACTTTGGACATGTAGTGAGGAGAGACCGGTCCTTGGAGAGGGACATCATGCTTGGGAGGGTGGAGGGACGGCGCAGGAGAGGAAGGCCCTCTATGAGGTGGATTGATTCAGTGACTGGGATAATTGGGAGGGGAGTGTCAGAGCCAGTGCGATTGGCACAGGACAGAGCGGAGTTTAGGGCTGTTGTACATAGGGTCGCTATGAGTCGCAGGCGACTCGACGGCACATAACAACAACAACAACAACAACAATACTAACCCCATATCTAGGCATTTTAAATTGTCAATTAAAAATTAATACTTAAATGTCAACCTTAAAATACATTTTTCAAACAGTTTAGATTTTCAGTATCCTTTTCCAGTAAAACCAGTTCTGAGATTAGAGGGACTTTTTTAGGGAGAGGGATATGTCCTTAGGAAAATGTTTTAATATCCCTTTTTTTTGGTAATATTTTGAGCAATTTCAGAAGCCTATGAAGAAGACTTTTGAAGAAAAATATTTCCTTAAGTAAATAAGAGAAAATATCTCAATAAGCTACACTGAAATAAAACTATAAAAATATATTAAAAGAATAAATAAGTGATACAGTAACATATAATTATTAAATAATAGGATTAAGCAGTCTATTTAAAACTAATGTAATTATGTACATAAATTATATTTTAAGATAGCTACACATTATTTACAATAGCAAGAAGATGAAAACAGCCCAAATGTCCATCAACAAATGAATGAATGGTGCATTCATCCAGTGGAATATTGTGCGACACTAAAGAATAAAAAATAACTCATAAAATACTACACAGCATGGGAAAGTTCTAGAGGACATTATACTGACTGAAATAACCAAGTCGCAAGTGGACAAATAGTACATAAAACTACTACTGTGAAAATAGGGGGTTAATGGACAGGGAACAGGGAGAAACGAAATAGAATGCACAGACAATGAACAGTAAAAGATCAGGAGAAGGGAGGATCAGCTTGGGAACAGTTGACAAGAAGACAATATGGCTATTGCAATTAGCAACTTGGAACAGGATGAGAAGGGGATGAAAAGGGTAGGAAGAAAAGCACTAGGGCAGCAGAGATTAGACGAAGGATTGGGAGGGGTGAGGGTGAAGGAATGGGTAAAATGCAATGAGGATTTGATGAGACATGGTGAGAAAAGGCATCAAACCATTATAACTAATAATAGAAAACAATAATGTATATGATTGATTGTGTAAGAAACAATTTAAAAAACATTTTGTGAGCTATACTTAGCAGTCTTTTGATTGCATTAATAATAGGCATTGATAAAAATTAAATTATTCTTCAATTAAAATAAAAATAGCATTAATAAATTCATCACATAGTAACAACAACAACCAAAAAAATGAAGGAATGCTAAATTCCAGTTAAGAAGTTAGGGACTAGGGGGAATTTGAATTTTTTTTTTATCATTAATCTTCCTGATTTTTATTGTTTTAAATCTGGGATAGATACACCCTCTGGAAAGACAGAATACTAACAATCTCGCCTGAGAAAACTATGGCCTGAATTAGGTGCACCATAGTCTTCAAACTGACATTGCTTCTCCTCAGTAATTGGAACCTGACTAAAGACTTTCCCAATGCAATACGTATCCCCACAGGTGGTACTAAGGATCCCTGGTGCCACAATCTCTTCTAAATCCAACTTAAACTTGTAACAGTTTCCTGTCACTGTGCTGTTCTAGCCATTTTTTATATGCTTCAGCAATATTTTCCTTGCATGTGATATTAATTATACTGTTGGATAATTTTCACATTCTGTTGGATCGCCTTTCTTGGAGATGGGAACAAATATGGATCTCTTCAAGTTAGGCAGCCAGTCATCTGGCCTCCAAATTTTTTAACTGACTGGTAAGTATTTCCAGGGTTGCATCTGTTAGTCAAACATATCGATTGCTATCCCATCAATTCCTGGGGCCTTATTTTTAACCAGTGTCTTCAATGCATCTTGAACTTCTTCCTTCATTACCAATGGCTCTTAAATATATGGTATGCTCTGAGATGTTTCAGTACCAGCCAATTTTTTTTTGGTACAGTGACTTTATATATTCCCTATATCTTCTCTTTATGCTTCCTAGATAATTCAATATTTTTCCCCTAGCATCCCTCAGTATTGAAACTCGGGGCTTGAATTTTTTTTTTTTTCAATTCTTTACGCTTGAGAAATGCCAAGTAAGTTCTTCCTTTTTATTTTCCAATTCCAGCTCTCTGCACATTTCATTGTAATATTTTTGCTTTGTCTTTTTGGAGATGTCTTTTGAAATTTTCTGTTCCGCCCATTTACTTCAGCATCTCTTCCCTTTGTTTTGGCCTCTCAACACTCTAGTGAAATTTTCAGAGTCTCTTCTGATATTTATTTTAGTTTTGTTCTTTCTCTGTCTTTGTAATGACCTTTTGCTCTCTTAATGGAAGATAATCATCTTGATTCATCTGATCTTGGATCATTGGTGTTCAAAGACTCTACCCTATTCTTAAGATTCTCATTTAAGTTCCAGTAGGATAGACTCATGTTCATACTTTGGTTCTTGTGGACTTGTTTTCATTTTCTTCAGCCTCCACTTGAACTTACACATGAGCAATTAATGTTTGGTTCTACAGTCAGCAGCTGACCTGGTTTTAATTGCTGATACTGAACCTTTTCAATGATTTCTTCCATAGATGTAGTCAACCTGATTCCTATGCAGTCCCTCATGTAAAGTCCATGTGTAAAGTTACCACTTGGGGGTTTTTGTTTGTTTTTTAGAAAAAGATGTTTGCAATGAACAAATCATTGAGCATGTAAAATTCAATCATTCAATTGCCATCCTCATATCTGTCACCAAGTCCGTACTTTCCAACTACCATTCCTTCTTTATTGTTTTCATTTTTTGTATCCCAGGCACCAATTATATCTGATGCATCTTGATTGCATGTCTGACTAAAAAATTTGGTAAAAATTTTCAATTTCCTCCTCCTCAACTTTACCCATTGGTGCAGCTATTTGAACAATAGATGCACTGACAGGTCTTCTGTGTGAGCACAGGGACAGTGTTTTATCACTTACAACATTGTACTTTCTGAAGATAGAACTTAAAACTGACTTTTTATATGAATGCAATGTCATTCTTCCTCTGTTTTTCATTCCCAGCATAGTATATTATTTAAAGTGGCCAATGTCCATCCATCTCATTTCACTTATGCCTAGAATGTCAATGTTTATGCATTCCATTTTACTTTTGACAACTTCTAGTTTCCCTACCTTCATACATCATATAATACACATTCCAATTACTGAATAGGAATTTTTAGTAATTATAGCCGAGATCTATCAGCAGCAACATTGATATTTCTCATTTTATGACCTTTATGAATGCAGCTTGAATATATGGAATTTTCCTGTTGATGACTGCTCCAGCCATAGTTGAATAATCATTAGCAAGTTTTTACTTGTATATGGTATTATTGACATTGTTTAATATTTCCACAATGTATTGGATCACCTTTATTTTTGGAATGGGAACAAATTTAGATCTATTTATCCCCTTAAGGCTCTTCCCCTTCTTCACTGAACCTCCACTTTCCCAAACATAGACTGATATCCCTGACAACATGCTCCTTCCTTGCCTTTAATGAGGATCCGGGGTGTATTTCTTCCTTAAGGACAGTTGTTTGTTTTTCCTGTCACATAGGGTAACTATGAGGCAGAATTACTTGAAGGCATATAAACAATAATAACAGATTTTAAAAAAGATATGATTTAGTGTGGTAACCCTTAAAAGAAAATCCAGACAAACAACACCAAAACTCGTAAACCAAAATACCTTTATAATCTCTGATGGTTCACTTCCTTCTTCTACAACAATGAGTTGAGCTCTTCCATTCCTTTCATTGTCTCGAATACCAATGGCAACCTGGGTTGCCTTCAGACGCTCATACTTGTTACATGAAGAACCACACCATTGGTAAATTTCCTAAAAAAAAAAAAATTACTATATGGAAGACATTTAAGCTTGGTGTAGTACATAATATAATTAATCAAAGGTGTAAAGAATAAAATTAAAATAATCTATTATTGAGGTATAAATAATTTACATCCTTAAAAATATGTAAAGATTATACACACACATCTCACTCTGCATTCTTTTGTTTTATTTTTTATTTTTCTTATTTTGCTTTAATTTAGCCCTGTAAAGTGAACATTTGTTAAATTATGAAATATAAATACTTTTCTCATCATTCTTTGTGGCTATGATTCATGCATCACAACTTAATATTTTTCAATTATTATATATAACTTAATTATTGAACAAAAAATTTTGTTTTCAGAAGATAACATTCCTACATTATCTTCACTTTATTAATAAAAAACACTTAAATGACAAAATTCAACATGTTTCAAAAAGTTAGCAAAGTTTTCTGAAGTATATTACTGTAATATACTCTTAATGAGTATAAAAAAGAAATGGGAATATCGCTTGAAAAGCAATTTAAAGATTATCAAGAGTCATAAAAAGAGCTTAAAACCTTTGACCTAGTAATATGATTATCTAGAACTTACTTTAATAGATTATTAATAAAGAGTTCTGATAGGGTAATTTGCAGGGAGTTGGGCTGTTAACCCAAAAGCCACAATTCTCTGGCTGTTCAAATCCAAGGAAAAAAGACAAGTAATCTCTGCCCATGTGATTTATAGGTTCACAAACCCAATGGACGGGGACTGCTATGAGTTCATGGCAATAGAGACAGAGTCTGAGAAAGATTATAAAATGCCATATATACAAGTGTACTTATTGTTCTGTGATTACATTAGTAAATTAGGGAAAAGCCTTAAATATTTCATAATAAGACAATAATTATATGATTATTTATATGGATAACATTAGCTACTTTAGAAATATGCTTTAACATAGAAATACAGAATAATTTTGATATAAAGTAATAAATATAAATTAAATAGTATGTATTTTTAAATTGCTAGAGTATTCTGAAAGTATACACATGTAAAATAACAATGGAAAATACTTTTGTTCATTAAATGTAGTTTTGGGTTTGTTTTTTTTCTCTCTCTCTTTTTTTTCATTAATTTTAATGAACATTTACAGAGATTTTGGATTTCCATCCATTCATTGTTGCACTTTTTTCCCTGCCTAGCCCTCCCCCACCCCAATTCACATCTCTCTTTGAAAAGTAAAAGAAAAATTCTTTCATTGGTATACTAAATGTAGTTTTTAAAAAGAAGTACAAGAAAGAGTCAAAATCCTGATGGTAACTAGGTCATTATCTAGCTTCTGACTCGCAGGGACCCTGGGTTTCCCAGGCTGTAAATCTTTATGGGTAGAGACTGCTCACCTTTCCGTTGCAGAGCCACTGATGGATTTGAACCACCAGGCACAAATGGCTTTTTTGTCTACGAGAGCAACATGCCACCAGACTGTACCATGGACTGCACCACTAAAGCTCTTTGTAGTCATGTAAGAAGGGACATTATTACAGGCTACAAGAGACTAGGGAGCTCTGGTGGCCTAGTGGTAAAATACTGCACTGTAATCTCAAAAGCACACAGTTCAAAACCTCCAGAGAAAAGCTCTGAGGAAAAAGGATGAGCAATCTCTTCCCATGCGACTTATTGCCTCTGAAAACCCACTGGAGGGTCAACTATGAGTTGGTCCTGACTCGACAGCTCACAACAGAAACAACAACTTAGGAGTTTATTTAAACTACACACATCTGCAGATAGAAATGCCTTCAGGGTTCACTAAACATAAATCTGTTTTCTCCTTTTTAAAAATTGCTGTATACAATGCTCAGATGTAGATTACAAGCTAGTTGCTGGGTATACAGAGACAAGTATAATAAAATTAGTAGGAGCTGACACGCAAGCAACTAACATTAATAATATATCTGCATCACACTTGATTTTCAAAACATTTTCCACATATCTACTCAGGCACAGAAAATGTTTAAATCTGGATGGACCTAGGAGAATATTTACTGGCCAGTGGTCTTGTTTTCATATTTTTTTTACAAAAACCTAAATCATTTAATAATAACAAACAAGTATTCAATCATCAGAGAGAGTGACTCTATTTTCTGATTGCAAGATGTTTACTTATAAAAATTGTTTACTTAAATGAACTCTGATGGGTAGTTGACAGGCATTGCAAAGCTAACCAAAAATAGTTCACTGTATGTACACACAGAAATGCAGTATATAACCAAGTGCAACAATGTACAGAGAGAAGAGGGGTATATGAAGATTACTGATGCTTCCTGCACAATTTTTCTATAAGTGCTCTGAAATATAAAGTTGATTTTAAATAAAAAACAGCTGGGTGCCAAATATGAAGCTATCTTCCTTACAAGTAATAAGGGCATAACTTTAAACAAAGTAGGCCAATAATTGTCTTTCTGACACAACTTCCCTATCCTACTCTGTTCTTGATTGACGCACTGCAGGTTTATCTTTTAAAATAAAAGTTTTAGGAATTCAGTTCTTTACAAGAAAACTATGGACTATGCCTTGAAATTCCTTTCACTCTAGTTCTGATTTAGTTCTTCAGCACAAAGGACATTCTTTCCTTTTTATAAAGAACCGTGCACTTCTACTGTTTCCTCTCTCAGCTCTTTTCCACACGTAGGCATCTAGATGATAGGCTCATATTCGCAGGCAACTTGAATACCTGCCAAGTTTAGCAGCTACAAAGAGTGAAAATCAATTATTCCCAATGGCCAGTCAATTCAAACTTATTCACTGAGCGTGAAAATTAGAGGGTGGAGTAGGAAGGAGATTTTTGGAAAAATATCTAATACATTGGGACTTGCCTTGGGGTGTGGACTGAAAGATTCCTAGGTGACTCTAGCATTCATCCAGAGCTGAAACCACCACTGGTCACCCTGTGGGTCTCAGGCCTTGCACGTATAGCAAGGAGTGTATAGCATCTTACACATAATTATGTGATGCAGCGAGGCAGGCCACTCTGCTGAGTGTATTGTAGGTGCTTAGCTCAGGATCTTCTCACCATCCTTTGTTGCCCCAGTCCTAAAGGCGACACCACTTGGCTAGTTTGAATTCATTAAGTGGCTCGCAGAAGAAAGATTGCAATCTCCTCTCATGTGATTTACAGCCTTAGAAAACCCACTAGAGGATCAGCTATGAAAGAGTAGTTTCCAATTTGATGGAAATGAATGAGTGAGTGATTCCACAGGGTTCTGTGCTGCTAATCCAAAAGCCATTCCTTTTCCATTCCACCAGCTACTCTCTAGGAGAAAGATGGACAAAAATCTCATCCCATGCAATTTACAGCCCCAGAAACCTGCTGGAGTGTTAGCTATGAGTCAGTTCTGAGTAGATGGCAAGGCCATGAGGATTCCACAACAAAGAGTATGAGTGAGGCAGTGCTACCGAACTAAAGTTAGGGACCAGGAGTAGGCCTTCTAGATTTGCCACACTTTTTAATAGTCTTCATAAACTGTTTCTTCGTGGAACAAATATTGATGCTCTCTTTACCTTAGTTATTTACATGTCCTTCATTTACTTCAGAGACCTTATATAAAGTCATACTAATGTCATACTAATTTATATTATGTCTGGAAAACATTATGAAAGCTTGGTAAAATTTAAGGATGAATTATTAGTTATGGTAACTTTACAAATATAATTATTATTTAATGTAGCATTATTATAATATTGTAAGGATCCCAAATATCCTTTATATTAGATTGGGCTGGGAGTTTTTCATGTGTAGTATTTATTCACAGGTAGATTCGGTTGTAGAAAATAATTCTTATCATTGCTTAGAGACCACTGTGTCTACTTTCAAAATAGAGGAAGAGATATATTCACATAATATTCACAAATGTAATAAAACTTTTCAAAGTAGAATTTTCTTTTTAACTCAAAGATGACTAAGTCACTATAGAAACTGATGAAGGAAATGTCAATATTAGGCCTGAAAACGAATACTTTGCATCATGCCTATCCTTTTGTTATTTCAGCTTTACTTTTATGCTACAAATCGTCTAAGTAGCATAGTGTAATAACCAAAAGGTGAATAGTTCAAATCCATCAGCTGCTCCACAGGAGAAAGACAATGCAGTCATTTCCCATAAAGATCTGTAGCTTCCAAAGCCCAGTGGAAGGTCACCATGAGTTGACATCCACACAATGGTGGTGCGGTTTGGTGGATTATTTTGTGCTGGCCTCGTGGCAAGAAGCTGAGCTGCAATCCTGAAGGCATGTGGTTCGAGTCCACCAGGTGCTCTATGGGAGAAGGTTGGGGAATCTCCTCCTGTGTGATTAACTGCCTCTGAAAAGGGTCAGCTATGTGTTGGTTCTGATTGAATGGTACATAATAACAACAACCACTTATTTAAGAGAGCTCTCATGACCTAGTGGATAAGGTCACACAGACAGGCTAATGGTTCAAATCAACTAGTTGCTCCATGGGAAAAAGATGGGCAAACCCTTCTCAAGTGATTTTCAACCTCTGAGAACCAGTTGGGGGTCAACTATGAGTTGGTTCTGACCCTATTGCAATGACTGAAACTTGTTCTTTGATAGGTAATTCAGACAATCAATACAATAAGTTTTATATTTATCACAAATTACTAAAAGTCAGAATGGTGTAGCGGTTGATTACACCACCATTTTCCCTCAGTGCTTATTATCTACACAAAAATTGCCCATTCAATAATAGCAGCAGTACATTAAAACTTGCTTTAGAAGTTTAAACATAGTTTTAGCACTTCACTGCATTCAAGAAATTTATACTCTACCTCATGTGGATGATGTACTAAGGTAGGTCGTCTCACTCTTAACAGAGCTCAGCTGTGCTGAAAGAGGTGTGGTAGTGCTATTAATAACTGCACTGCCCAACACTTACTCTATTCAGAGGGTTAGGAATGACTGCTTCACGACTCTGTGTATAATGTAATTTTGTACTCAGCGGCCCCTATGCTTGAAAAACTGTGT